TTCAGAAAAAACGTTTTACCTCAAATGCCTTTGTTCTCTCAAAACTTTCTAAAGGCCCTGCAGATTTTTAAAAACCCCTCAAAAATAGGCTGCGTATCACCCTCCACCGGGGTCCCCGGGGAGAGGGAGGGCGACCACAAAGGAAAGTGCTCCATAAAGTTTCTCTCTTTTTCCCTTTAAGCGGAGAGGGGATCCCCACCTGGGACCCACCCTCCTCTGTCCCCTTAGGGTAAACCTTCAGAGTGAGAGGGACAAACTTGGCTTCACCCTGGAATCAAAGTTCATGAGATGCAGTTCAAGGCGTCCTTTCTCTCTGCTTGCAACTGCCTGGCCTGAGGCAGGTCCCTAGAATCCGCCTCACTCCCCGGGGAATCCAGCGGCTCTCTGGCCCAACAAGCTCTTCAATTAGGGCAACTTCAGAGACGTCTATGGCCCTTGGGACAGCGAGGAAGAGCGTGCCCATGGCTCGGGGACGCCCAGAACTACCCCTTTCGGATCTTCTTCCGGCCCCACACCCCGGCCTCTCACCTGTCACAGTGCTTTCTCAGCTGCTCCCAGATCAGCAGAATCAGCTCTGTCTTCACCTGCGGCAGGTCGGGGCCCATGGACCCCGAGGTGTCCAGCAGGATGCACACTCTCTTCTCCAAAATGGTGCCGAACAGTCGGCGGCTCCCTGCGCCAGGTGGGTTGGGGCAGAGGCAGGGAAGGAGTGAGGGCTCACCCCTCCGGCTGCCTTTCCTCTCTGTGGCTGCCCAATTCATGATCTTGCAACACCTGTTGCCTGATTGATCCTTGATCAGATATCAACCCACTGGGAGATGGCCTTTGTGTTGTTGGAGGGGTCGACTGTCCTAGGGCAGAGCGGCCGGTGGTCTGGCTGCGGCTCTGCCTGTGACCACTTGTTCAAGTGGTTATAACTGCCCTGGCCTTGAGTTAAGGGATTGGACTCAGTATTGTTTGGTCCAGAAAAGATATTACAGAGCACAAAGTCCACCAACCGACCAACAGAAATCAGCTCTGCATCCTTTAGCGCCTGGTACTGTGCAAGTGCAACGGTGAGCGAGAGAGAGGCACAGAAGACAGGCGTTGCACAGACAGAGCTGTGCCGTGGCTTCTGACAGTGTTAGTGCAGCCCAATAAGCGTGGAGATCTGAGTTAGAGGGATGTGGGTGGGA